GTCTACGGCTCTAGGTCTAAGCATAGTAGACTAGAGATGCGAACGGGTTTATAGAAGGGAAAACCTAGTCCTCTTATCCGCCGGCGTAGCTAGCGTCTTCTTCCGCCTCGTACTAATCTCTTAGCTCTTCTTAGGCGTCGAACTGGTCCTACTAACTAAGTCTAGATTCGTCGTACTTATCGCCCTACTCTCGGTCTATCGGGTCGTAGAAAAAGGCGGGCTCGGCGAGGCCTCCGTAATTCGCGGGAATGCCTTATCCTCTTGCATTTCCGGGTATCGTCTGCTATCTCTAAGGATTCGGATACTACGGGAGACCGCGCGCGTCTACTATCTTCTCGTTTACGCTTGCGTTTGCGGCTTATAGTCGTTAGCGGCTATAGACTTAAGGTCTAGGCTAACGGCGCTATTAGAAGGCGTTAGGTTGCTATCGATTGTACGGATTGTTATTTCCGAGAAAAGGCGCGCGTCTAGCGTTAAAACGAGACCTAGGCTAGAACCTTAGGTCTACGAACCTACCCTATACTAAATCGCTACGCCGAAGGTTGTACTTACTACTATAGTAGCTAGCAGTTATACTGCCGGGTAGATATAGCTCTACCTACGTAGCGTAGTAGGCCTATATTATATCGATAAGGGTTTAATATATCTATAATGCCGTAGGGGTATTAAGATTACCTCTAAGCTCTAGCGCGATCTTGCGGAAGGTATAATTAATCTACCTAGCGAGTAATTCCGTACCGCTCTACTAAGCGAGACGTATAACGTTGATAACGTACTCGCTTACGCTCCTACGGGCCGCGATATCCTTAATACGGTATTGCTCTATCTCTATCTCGCGCGCGGCGACTAAAGGGTCTAATCGGAACTGTTCGCGTAACGCCTCCTTCTACCGCTCGATCCCCGGGCCGGTCTATAGGAGCGTACGTCGATTATTAGTAAGCGCGTATAGGTACTATTGTAAAGCGGAACCCTAAAGGCATCGGTATAGTAATAGACGAAGGGTAGGAGCTAGGTATTCGCTAGCCTAAATAGCGACGTCTAGGCGCGTAATAAAGGCGAAAACATCTCGGTAGTATATAGTATTCCCGAAATATACTACCGGGCCTTTGCCCTTGCTCTCCGGCAGGTCCTTATTAAAATACCCGATTTGCTCGGGCTTGAACTTATAGGGGGCGATTTCCTAGCTAAAATCTAACTAAGGAGTATATAGGGGAGTATATACGTATATACCGTTATACCTAGGGTTAATGTAGTTTCCTCGATCCCCGCGGTTCTATATAGACCTAAGGTTGCCCGTAGGTAGCTCTCTAGCGACCGGGACTCCCTAGGCTAAGGCCGCGAAACGCTCGGCGTTAATCTTAGGTCTAGTGTAAGAGCGAGCATCTCGATTCCGATTAGCTTACTAGTCTGCTCTCGTTAGGCCGTAGCCTGCTCGGTTGCGTATCGGGTAAAGACCTATATATCGCGGCGGCCCGGTCGCTCCTAGATAGTCCTTATTCTACGGAGCTATATAGCCTGCCTAGCTATTATTCCCTATCGCCTATACTAATTTCCCTATAAGCGTTTCTAACCTGCTAATTCTAGCATTCTCGGCGTTGTTATTGCTATCTTCGTTATTGCCGGTATTATTCCGAGAGTTCGCTTCCCTCGGTCTTCTAGTAGACTTAGCGTTTCCTCGCTATCCCGACGTAAATAGCTTGCCTATATTAATATAGTAGTTAGGTTGCTCCGACGGCTACGGAGCTCTACCCTCGCTATTCTCTTTAGCGGCCGCTTTATTCTTAGCTCTTACGGCTTCCTAGCGGCCCTACTCGAAAGCCTCTTGCAATTTTTCTTAGATCTCGAGCTCGTAGACCTCTCGTTGCTCTACGAGGGCGCGATTAAGACGAGCCTAGTCGTTCTTACGCTATATTCCTACTCTCTCGCGTTCTTCTCGCATTTATTAAGCAAACTATTCTTTTATTTGCTATATAGCATTGCCGTTAGCAGGGGCTGCGGCTCCGTTAGCCTTGCCTAACATTTCTTACTCCGGATCTAAGTCGGCGAGAGAGCTAAGAGGTAAAGTAGTAGACACGGAGATAAGGGAGCTTTCTCGAGGCGCTAGCGGGGGCTCTTTACGAAAAGAGCCGAAGTTCTTAAAGGCGTCGCCCTTAGGCAGATTAATTGTAAAGGGAAGCTTACGTCTATCCGGCTTAGGGGCCGCTCCTATATCGTCTTCTACCGAAGGTTAAACCGCTTGCTTTTCTAGCTTTAGAGGTATCTAAGTTTTCCTACGACGAGGACGATGTTCGTTCTCTAGAGGCTCTTTAGCGGTAGACCTAAAGTTCTCGGTCTTCTACTAGGCGAAATGCTTGCTCTTTAGCTAGTAAGCTATTAAACGGTCGACCTATTATACCGCGGAATAAGATAGAGAGTTGTTATCAACCTAGTTGCTAATAATTTTAGAGCGAGTAGGAGGCTTAGGCGTAGTATCCCTATCGGTAGACTTAGCGTTCTCCCTTAATATAGATCTTAATCTACGAGGAGAGTCCGCTTCTTTAGGATCCTCTAGCTACTCGGTTATAGCGATAACGCGGAATTTTAGGTCTCCCTCTAGAAGTTTTGCTAGGCACTATCTTAGCTTAGAAAAAGCTAGGAGGGTAAAAGCCGTATAGATAAGGTAGTATCTATCCTTAGCTAATTCGGGAAGAGTGCAATCTTCCTAGGCGGTAGGCTATAACTTAACGGAAGGTTCCCCTTAGTTCTTCGGTGCTATAGACTTAGAATAATAGGCCGTTAGTTAGGCTAGTTAAGGGCTACGCGGCTTCGGTGCTCGAGTGTTAAGCACGAGCGTAATTGGAATGTTAAGCGTAGTAGCGTATATAGCAGTCGCTGTTTAGTTATTCTAAACCTTCCTAAATTGCAGTCCCCGCTAACCTAGTATCGGGCGGACCTGCCTTCTGCAAATAAGAATGTAAATAATAGAAAAGTAAAGGCGGCGGGGTACCGGCGACGGCGGTATGCTTAGTCTATCGTCTATAGCCGCGTCGACTTATCGCTAGTAATTTCTTAACTCTTTCGCTTAGTATAGTCTAACTGCTACTTTCGTCGATAGTGCGGAAAATAGCGTTAGAGTAGGTCGTTAGGATTCCTCCTAGGTGCGGAGGACCTTTTACCTTAGGAGGAGGAGGGGGATAGTAAACCGTAGTTCGGATAGTCCGTTTAGTAACGGTTAGTGCGTTTTTCTTACGCTAGTGCTTATAGCGAAGCTACCATTTTGTTATAGTTCGAAACGTGGTTTTAAAGTGTGTTAATTCATGTTATGTCTATCTAGCTACGGAGGAAGTATGCCTATAAGGCGGCTAGTAGTAGCCGCCTAGGTGTCCCTTCCCTCCTAGCTTCGTAACACTTTACCTTAGAGCTAGGCGTATCTCTTATATAGCTTTAGATAATAATTGCTAGGTACTATAAGTATATAGATAGCTAATACTATACTTAGTAATACTCTTAGTACTAGAAGGCTCCTAGCTAATCGTGCCTATAGCTCTATCTACTATCTAAGCGGCTTCGAGTACTATAATCTACGTTAAGAAGCACTTCTAGGCTTCCTATTAAACTATAACCTCCCTCTAAGATAGACCTTCTATAGTAAGAGCCTAATAATCTTTAAGCGTATAAAGAATAGCGTACTTAGTAATAGATTATATATAGCCGATAGTAGGCGGCGTTATTTGAACAGCAATAACGATAGGCTACCTAGTAATACTACTAGTACTAGTAATAATAATAATAATAGTCGCTTATATATCTAATAGAACGGCTACTTTACTACTAGGTACTATAGTAGTAGTACTACTAGTCTGTCTAGTAGCATTGTATATAGTAGGCTAGTTAGTAGGCTAGAGACTAGTATAAGCTAGTATATATAGCCTCGCGTAGTTATAAGGCCGTAGATTATAACCCGTATAGATCTTAGTAGATAGTAACTAGTAATGCCTTATATAGCAGTAGTACTACTAGTCTATCTAGCAGAATTACACATAGCAGGCTAGTTAGCAGGCTAGAGACTAGTACAAGCTAGTATATACAGCCTCGCGTAGCTATAAGGCCGTAGATTATAACCCGCATAGATCCTAGTAGATAGTAACTAATAACACCTTAAATTTTACTATACTACTAATTCGCTAACAAACTTCAGCTTCATAGCTGCCGGCAGTAGTATAGAGGTGGTTGCCCGGCCGGTAGTAGTTGCGGGGATCTGGAAATCGCGTCCCCATGCGATTTTGTTAGGAACAGCGGATTCCATAATCCACTGTATTGCTGGGGCTCGGGCGGGTAGCTGGGGCTCGGGGAAGTGGCGAGGCTTGCCATCGAGAATCAAAGGTCGGAAAAGATGGACCTAGCTTGTGCGGAAGAGCGATTGTCCCAGCCATTCGGCGTGTGCTTGCATTCTCACGCGTCGATCTGAGGCACTTTGCGTTGTCTCGATCGAGCACTTGCTGGAGCTGCTGCACCTTCGAAGGCCCATTTCGACCTGCTTGAGCCTTGCGGGTCTATAACGACACACCTGTTTCTCTGCACGGACGCCATTTCCAATCTGCCTCGACATCACCATGCCATTGCGAGACATTCAAGAAGAACAGATGGGTACCCACAGCAGATTTGCCAAAAGAAAGCACAAAAGAGCTGCGCGAACGGATGTGGGATGCCAGATGCAGTGGCTGCAACATGGATATGCGGTGCACCCACAAATACCAACAGTGCGAGCCAGCTACAGCTGGTGACCAGAGTGCCATGTGTGGTTGACCCCCACCCGCCGTCTTTCACGGAACTGAGGTCCGGTCTTATGTGAGGGTGATGTTGCTGGCGATCTTAGTCGCTTGATATCTGCGAGAGGGAGCAGGATCGTACGGCGAAGCGTAGGGGCTGCTCTTCACAGACAGCTTTGTGTCTTGATCTTATCCGTCCTGGCATTGGTGCTTTCCATATCTCAATTCTCCACAGCGTAGCAGGATTCCGACATGGCGGAAGGACGACCAGCAACCCAAGTACGAAAGCGCCAATCTCTTGTGCTTTGCTTTGATGGCACAGGTATGAAGCAAAACACTGAACATGACTTCGCAGCCTAGCTGAGTTCTGAAAGGAAACAAGTTTCAGGGCGGCCAAGCGGATTCCAACAGTGAAGAACCCCCGAGTCACTGTTTTGCGGTGTAGCGTGATTGACGTCTCATAGTCATCAAAATCTACGGACTCCTTGACCGGAATGATCCAACTCAATGTATGCGGGTACGAAGATTTCGAGACTTCAACTGACTAACCGCTGCCCAAGACCACTATTACCAGCCAGGCATCGGCACTTATGTCGAGACGTCCTCTCTATCCCGCAAAAGTACATACGGCCGCGTCAAGTCATGGTACAGTAAGGCCAAAGACCAAGCCATTGGTACTAGTTTCGGAGAGCATGTAATGGCTGGCTATCGCTTCTTAATGCGCTTCTACAATGATGGCGATGCCATTTACTTCTTTGGATTCTCTCGGGGTGCTTACACCGCTCGCTTCCTTGCGCAAATGCTCGATTATGTAGGTCTGCTCAGCGCCGGCAATGAAGAGATGATGAGATTTGGTACGTGATTCCCGTGCCACTGAAGAACAAACTGACTTTTTATATCAGCTTGGAAAACTTTCTCGAAATGGTATTCCCCCACCGGCTCTTCTATTCAGAGCCCAGATATTCATCGTCGAGCAGGCAAATGAGAAGCGAAGACACTGCAGCAGAAAGAGCGAACAAGCAGAAGACTTTCGAATTTATGCAGAATTTTCGCCAGACGTTCAGCAGACCCGTTGTTCGAATCGAATTTCTCGGGTTGTTCGATGTAAGACATGACAATCAAGGTCGACTTTTCGAGTTGTTGCTGACTTCCTCAGTGTGTCAATAGTGTACCGCAATTCGAGTCGGCTTGGATGACAAGAACACGATTCCCGCAAGTTCTTTTCCGAAGACATACTGCTCATGCACTGACCAATCTTCAGTTATACTGCAAAGACATCGGCACGTGTCATAAGACATGCAGTCGCGATAGATGAGCGCCGCGCTAAGTATTGCAAATTCACCTTGCCTAATGATTTCTTGACCTTCCTGACAAGCACGATCTGCAGGTTTCGCCAAGACCTCCTTTCCGAAAGACGCCAAACACATCCGTCTCACCACCATCATATGGAGCAATGGCACCTCCAGATCCCTGGGGAGAAGGGGAAGCTTACGAAGAAGCAATCAATCCAAAGGACATTGTCTCAACCGCACTTCCGCGCGAAACAGCGCCGGCGTATGGCCATTGATCTCGGGCCAGCTTCGTCAAGCGTTTCAGTAAATTCGGGAGACGTCGTTCGACATAATCCTAGAGATGACGATAGTGATGGCGGCGAAGAAGATGAGCGCCAGGATATACTCGAGCTTTGGTTTGCTGGACAACACGGTAAGCACTCTAAATGAGATTAGCAAAAGTGCATCAAATGCATGCTAAAGTCATCCTATATGGTAGGCGATGTTGGAGGCGGTTGGACTTTAAATGAGAATGAAGAAAGACCAATCAGTGACATTGCACTGAGCTGGATGGTTAGAGAAGCGCGCAAAGCGGGTATGCCGTTCGATGAGGAGAAAGTACAAGCATCCAACTTGTTTGTGGAAGATCCAGGACCGAGCGCAGACATGCAGCCAAACGACATTCCACAGCTGAAAGTGGAGGGAGAGTCGGTGCATGAATCAGATTTGTCGCGATGCAAATTGCAATTTACAACATGGCACGAAGAAATGCACAAACTAGCTGCCGAGGGCAGGGTTCATGATTCTCTCGCTTTCGGTGGTGGACTTAGCCGCCTGGCAGTGTGCGCTTGGCAGTTCATGGAATTCATGCCCTTCCGAAGAATGGATCTTCAGAAAGACGGCAAGTCGACTTTCCGCTGTGCTCGCATTGCGCTAATTGGTAGGCAGGCTCATGGAAGGCGATCTCGTGGCCACTGCCCCGTGGAGAGACCAGAGATATGTCTCACGATTGCCAGATCCATTCCTCGGTGATCAAACGAATGGAAGCAGATCCGAACTACAGACCTGGTAACCTCATTGTCGGCGGAGGAGGCAGGGGCTGTAGGAAAGCTCCTGATTCTTTTGGCATGGTATGTCTGGCTTGGCATCAAAGTTCATGTGTCTGACAGTTTTGCGTATCTGACCTGACGATTCCAGGGCGAATGGCGGCCTGCAGTGAGCGGAGGAGGAGAAGCGTACGTCAAAGTGCACCCGGCCAATGCGGAGCCCATCGTCGATGGATGTGGTGACAGCAACGGCATCAAGTGAGCCAGAAGGAGGTTCGGTGTTTGCTGGAAATGGGGTTCTCGGCACTGGCCTTCTCTCACACGCACGTTCGTACATCTGCATGTTGGTATCAGCCACGTGAGATCGCTTTGCTCCGACCGACATGCTATTGTCCTCGCGGCCGCCGTATGCAACCACCAACAGAGTGACGTTAGACATTGTGCTATTGGGTGGAATACGGAGAGGGTAAGATCGGAGAAGCAATTCTTGGCAGTGCCGGGCCAGAGGCCGCCCGCGAGCTCGCTCCTTCCAACTTCAGCTGCGCCTGCGCCTCCACTGCCCTCTCTAAATTGTGCTGTGTCTCTCGTGGCACCAAGTCGTAATCAGCTGCGCAAAAGCGAATCCCGTTCCTTGCTGTGATTCACCCAAAGCTTCCCACATGCAATCATGCCTAGTGAACATCGACGCTTCACCCCATAGACCACTTGTCAAGGCCTTCAGATCAGCTGTCGACTGCAACCGCCCTGCTTGTGGTCTCCGTATCTGGCATCCATCCTTTTGGACGCTCCGCTCCACGGACCACCAGTCCATACAAAGACTTCTCGACTTTCTCCACCGAGCTTCTCATCACATCCATCTTCTTGCCAACATCCTTGGCAAATGGGCCATTACCGGCGTGTAGCGCTTCGAGTGCCGAGCGAAGAGCGCGCATGTCATTGAGTACGTTTCGTTCCCCTCCAGCATTTGGTCCTTGGGACAGTCCTGGCAATGCCCCACTAGTAGCCATGCTCGTGATAGCAAATCGCATGAGCTCTCCCGTCATGTCGAAGATACCCAGAATGTAGTCCTCCAGACTGAGCTCGACGCCACGTCCCTCCGAGTTTTTACGAAGTAATATAGCGGCGTCCTCGTAGCTCACTATGCTTGCCGTGGTCAGGTAGTGTTCGAACGATACGGCTTCCATCCATTCTTGGCATCCGCCACTGATCTGCCGAGCGTAACGATGCGCATTGAGACCTTGCAGATCATCGCTGACCGAGGAAAATTGAGCGAAGATAGTTTCGTAGTATTGTTTGTTATTCTTGACGATGTTCGGTGGTATTGGGTTGCCAAGCGTTCGCACTCTGTCAATCAATCGTTAGGTATGGCGTCGCGAGCGAAGAATGATGGAAGGTGCTAGGCTCAAACATACCTTTGCAACGCAAAAATTCTGACGAGAAAGATTAGCTTGAGGATCGGGATGAGTGGGTGAGTGCTTGTTGAGCTTCTTTCTTCTCACATCTTTTTTGAAGCGGCGGTGATGTCTCTTGAAGCCTTGATGATGCGTTCTCGCCGATCGTGATGCTCGTCTAGCTCACTTTTGAATTGCTCGAACATTGCCGTGAATGGCGACGAGGCGGCGCCGGCGCCGTCTTTGCCTTCCATTTCCGCGTGAGAGCGCTTGCCCATCAGTAGTGTCTTCGCGAATGCAAATTGACTTGTGACGTTTTCAACGACGTTTGATGTCCATTGTAGCGAAAACGCTCGTCTCAGTGATTCAGGCACTGTTCTCAACGTCTAAAACCCTCAGCTCTAGGGCCGCAGTCCCTCTCGTGTCTTTGAGACTGCGCGATATCCTTAGTACTATTTAGCAGATAAATATATAGTAAAATACAAACTGTCTATTAAAAACCCCAAGTGTTATACTTCCTATTCTTTTTTATTAGAATAATATATTATTCAAAGTATAGCAAAGCTTTAAATATACTTCTACTAGTAGTAACTTAGGAGCAAATAATAATAGTATAACACATAATATATAAGAAATATACACCATAAGCAAATTTCTATAGAATAAGAATATAAGTATAAATAATAATTGTTCTAAGTATTTTAATAAATATAAGCAGAGGATTAGACAGGAATCTACTACTAGTAAAGAGCAAAAGAATTTAGTTTAGAAGAAAAGAGTCGAAACGCGGCTTGTCTAGCTTATAAAAGGGCCCGGACTAATCCTACTAGGTTTAGCTTAGTCTACCTCTATCTACTATCTACTACCTAACGCGACTATTATATATTTATATACGCGTTTTTTATATAGAATATAGTATAATACTATCTCTAAGACTTAGTCTAATAATAGAGATAGTATCGCTATAGAAACTAGTAATTTTCTAACTATTACGGGTAAGCAACGCGTACGTAGATACTAGATATAAGACTTAATAGATTAGATAAAGAGCTAAGTCTATCTACGTAAATCCGAATAGTTTTATACGGTGCGCTAAGCGCTAAGTAGTAGGTTAGAGTCGCGTAGGCCGAATGCCTAAGGCTAGCGCTTTCTACCTAGGGCGTAGCCCTTTATATTACCCCTATCCTCCTCCCCTTCTTTAGCGAGGATAGAAAGCCCCTCGTAGTTTCTATCGTAATTACTTTATCCGTTAGATCTATACCTATCTAAGCTTCTCTAAAGTAACGCGCTCGTAGTTTCCTCCTTTACGATTAAGGTTTCCGCTACTTTCCGGTCGGTATTGCCGTACCTAGGGTCTTAACGACTATAACTTTCTTCGCGACTGCTAAACCGCCCTCTTTTACCTACTTACCGCCTTCTAAAACGCGCCGTAACTACGCTTTCGAACGCTTTACTTATAATCGCGTCTTCCCTTACTTTCGCGACCTTTACTTCTACGTCGCTCCCTAGGAGTATTAATATTTCCCTCTTCTTCTTCTTCTTCTTCTTCTTTTCTTTATATATACCCCCTACTACTACTACTACTACTACTATAGCAAGTCCCTCCCTATACTCTACGATTTCCTTCGTAAAATTAACTTATCCTAGATAGCTCGTCGAATCTACTATATTAGTTGCTATAACTCCGGCGAGGACTACGCCGATTAATCTATAAGGTTCCCGCCCTATTTATCGTAGGGTCTGCTAACTTCTCTTTAGCCCGCTAGCTCGAGGGCCTACGCTAATTGCGCTCGTAAGAGAATTACTTACGCTCTACTATAAGTTTTCGCGATTCCCGTACTAAAGCCCTCGCTAACTATTTAGTCCTTAAATAGCCTACGTAGCCTACGCTAGCTATACCCGCGCGACCCGCGGTACCGTCGCTAAGAAGCACTCCGAGCTTCTTAAGGTTCTTAAGGTATAGAAAGCTCTTAAGTCTCTCTAGCCGTAGGGATTGCTATCTAGGTAAGATTTCCCGTTTCCTGCGATAAAACCCTCGCTAACTATTTCTTTTAGCGCTATCGCCTCGGAGGTAACGAATACTGTTGCTAATATCGTAGTATAACAAACTTAGACGTAAGTTTATCTCTATCCTTAGATTTTCTTTCGCTAATCTTCTTTTCTCTTAGGGATATTCCTACTACTCTCTATCTCGGTACTAATCGTATCGGTCCGCCGGATTAGCTAGGTTAATAAGGGTTTCCGTAGGTTTTCTAGTAGGCTCTAGGTAGTTTTAGAGGTAATATTATATCCTTTTTCTAGTCCTAAGAGGACCTCCTAATTTCGGGCAGAGACCCGATACTTACTTATAAATACCTAAATAAAATTCTTCCTATCCTAAATTATATTTCCTTTCTCTAGTGTTTCTAGTAAACCCTAAATATTTCGTAAATAAAAGCTAATAAGTTAGTAAAAACTCCGAAAGTTAGTAAAAATCCCTAAAATCTATAAATTAACTATCGTTATTCTACGGAAAAACTCTAGGTTACCGCGTTATTTCCTCTGTTTCCCTTTCTTCTCCTAGTCTCCTAGAGGTCCGTCGTTCTTCTCGATTTGTCCGTATCTCGCTTCGAAGTCGTTAAGTACTAAGGTATCCGCGATATAGTCTAGGGGTTCCTACGTAGGTTTATAGTACCCGCTCTATTTTACGAGCGCTTCTTATCCCCGGCCCCGCTTCTTTTTCCGAGTATATAGGATTTCTTCGACCTACTATTCTTTATACGTCTCGAATAAAATAGGGTCCGGCTATTTATCGTCGATTACCTACCCTAGTAGAGGGTCTCTACTCGCAAGTCTTAGAAGGTCGGTATAGAATACTAGGTAAATGTTACTAGGTATCCCCGAGAGTTATACTAAGATAGGCGACAATACCTCTTCGACCGTATACTTAGCGTATCTCGAGTCGAGGCTCTCCTTTAGTCTATCTATCTAGTAATTCCTTAGGTCGAGCTAGACCTTATCTCCGATATAGTATACCGGCGCTAGCGTCCTAGTTTTATTCGCGCTTTCCTTTTGTTTCTATACTACTTCCGCTATTTATACTTAGTATAGGTCTAAGATCTTTTTAATCTTATCTACGAATTCCTCCGCTCGTTTCGCCGCGGTTAGCCGCCTATCGATAGCTAGGTCCTCTTCTAGCGGAATAGGGGAGGTAGATTCGTAGCTATAGGTCGCGAAGAAAGAGCTTATTCCTAATCCCGCTTAGTGTCTCCCGTTAAACGCAAGTTCTGCCGTAGGAAGCTATTAGTCCTAGTTAGACTATATTTAGTTAATATAGTTCCGTAGGTACGCTTAAATATCTTAGTTTACGCGCTCCGGACCTCCGTCGGTTTATAGGTAGTAAGCGGAGCTTTACCTCTGTTTTATACTAAGTAGTCGATATATTTCCCTTTAAAAAGTACTTATCTAATTTATACCTCTATCGCTAGTAATAGTACGAGGCAGTCTATAATACCTAACCTAGTATTTTAGAAACAAAACTGCGTATTCCTCCGCTTTTATAAAGGGAGTACCGATAAGGGCAATCTATTTGCTAAGGCGGTCTTTAATTACCTAAAGATATCGATTCCTATCTAACTCCGGTAGGTTAGTTATAAAGTCTATCGAGATTTCCTAGAAGAAACGGTCGGGTACCGGTAGTAGCTTTAGGAGACCGTATTTACACTCTCTCTATACTTTATTACGTCTATAATAGTTGTAATTCCGTAGGAATTGTTATACCTACTTCGACTATAGCGGCTAGTAGAATTCGCGACCTAGTATAGAAGCGGTAGAATCCCGGCTAGAGTAACTATAGAGCGGCGAGTCGTAGATCGATTAGATAATCTTCGTACGTAGTATATCCTATTATAGTTCTTCGGCTCCTATGTCTTTATATTCGGCCTCCGTCGTAGCTAGGGCTCCTAGAACCTAGAGTTTGCCGCGATAGCGTAGGAACCCCTTAGGGTCTATCGTATAATCCCCGATCTAAATTTTCGCTTTAATTTCCGGTTATAATATCCTGTATCCCTTACGGACTTTCCGAAACACCGTCTAGTATACTATATCCTTCTCGATAATACTTTTCTATATTTCGTTTATCTCTAGGTCCTAGAATAGTTTAGCGCTTTCCGGCGGGGCTTACGCGGGTTCCGTCTTATTTATAAGTAAGGATAACGGGCCCGCCTTAGTAGTACGTAGGAAGCTACGGATCGTAGTACTAGAGATTTAGACGTTTTCCGGCTAGTTTAGAGAGAGATCTAGGTCTAGAAATCTCCGGAACCTCGAAAGCTTATCGTCTTAGCCTAACGTATCCTATTCTCTCCTCGATAAGGTATCTAGTAGGATAGCCTCGATTTCCGGCCGGTAGACTAGGGTAAACTAGTACTTCGCTAGTTCTTCCTACTATCGGATCTGTCTCTCGGACAGCTAGCGCTTTACTATAAAGTACTCTAGGTTCTTATAGTCCGTCTAAATCGTAAAGGGGCTATATAATTTTAGCTCGGCGTCCTAAAACTTAATACTAGATACGACTACGAGTATTTCTTTATCGTAGATATTGTAGTTAATCTCCGCTTTGTTTAGTTTCTTCGAAAAGAAGCCTACCGGTCGACGGATACCCTCCTTTTCTTAGATAAAGGCGCCCCTAATCGCGAACCCGCTATAATCTATTTTAAGGAAGGTAGAAAGGGACGGGTTCTACTAGACAAGCACCGGGGCGCAGCAGAATTTATCCTTTAGCGTCTTAAACGCCTTATCCTACTCTTCTCCTTAGGAGAATAGGGTTCCCTTACCGGTTAGCGCAGTTAATAGTGCGGAAATCTTAGAATAGTTCGGTACGAATATACGGTAATAGTTCGTAAATCCTAAGAAACGACGAACTTCCTTCTAGGTCTTAGGTACTACCTATTTCTATATAGCTTCTACCTTTTCGGGATCTGCTAATACTCCTCCTCCGTTAGCGTAGACGATAAATCCTAGGTACTTAATCTTTTTCTAGGCGAATTCGCTCTTTTTTATATTAAGGTAAAGGCCTCCGTCCTAAAGCTTCTTAAGAACGGCCCTTACTTTACGGAAATAGTCTTCCCTCGTCCCGCTCGAGTAGATAACTACGTCGTCTATATATACTAACGCGAAATCGTCTAGATACTCCTATAGGAGAGTATTAATATACTGTTAAAACGTAGCCGGGGCTCCGGACAAACTAAATAGATATACTAGCTACTCGAACGAGCCT